TCGATCCTAATTCAAGGAGGACTAAGAAGGAATCAACGAAGAAGTGGGGTTTTAGAATTTGAAAATGTACTGATCGTATTTATCTACTTTACCACACCTGCACATTCTGTAGCATAGAAGACCCTGTATAGTGTCGAAGTTTCTGTTCCTTGAGCTTTGAAATCCATTTGTTGTCTATTTGAATTGTTTTATTGCTTGTCTGTATTGTTTCCTCAAAGTTGTTCACCGCAACGAAGAATGTTCATTTGAGCGAATAAATTTTGAGAATGCCTGATGTTTTCTTATGCATGTCTCAATCATGACCCTGCGGCCCCCTCATATTATTGCTGTAACATGAACTCAAGAATTCATGTGATATACACAACTCCCCAAATGGTTTTGTGGAGGTTGCATCTTTCTATCTGGTAACAAATTTTACCTAATCTTCTAGCGCATTGCCAGAGTTTGAGCTTGCATGGTGGCATCGAGAATAGTTGGTAAAAACTCATGTAACCTACGCTCTAAATGATCGCACAGCCCAACCAATGATAGCCTGCCGCCCGCTCGACATGGACTTTCTGTCATAAAAGCAGCGTGGGCTCCCGTCAATCTATAAACTGCTATGGTAAGTATCAGCTAATCCCAACCATATATCTACTTGTGTCTGAAAAATAAACCCCACTGTAACTTGAGTCTTCACCCTACTCAACCAATGGCAAGAACTTTCTCTAGTAATCAATGCCAAGTGATAGGATAAGGATATCCGTCAAAATATTGATTAATTAAATAGATTAGAATTAAGCAGCATTTTTGCTAATGGGCTATATGGGTGGGTCTTATCAATGATTTAGGCACTGCAGATTTCTTGATGTGGACTGAACTCTACTGCCATAAGCCTACAAGTCCATGTACCTGTGATGGCATGGATGCCATCACTGCTTTGCATGGACAAGCCCCTAGGGAATACACTGCTGCAAATTTGCTTAAAAGGATTTACCATTGCCAAGTATACTAAAACGCTAGGGAATTCACTGTAACAGTGAACAGTGACAGGAAAAATTTCTCCAATTTCAACTATTTTTTTCAATGCCCAACCTTCTATGCCCATTTTGTCAAAATTGGTAAATTATGGACAAAATTCGGAAAAAGGACCAAAATGCAAAACAAGAAGAAACCCCATTGCCAATTTAAAATTGAAGCTAAAAGTTTTTTGAAGGTTGTTATGTCATTTATAAAAGGGTTTTGAAATATTTTTCAGTGCAAATGACTTAAAAATTTAGATTTTTGAAATCCTCCCTCAATTTTTTAATCTCAAGTGGTGGTTATATTTTGAGTATGTATAGGTGACATGTTATCTACTTTCTTTTCTCTCAAAAAATAAAAGGTTTTATTTAAAATAAAAATAGACATAAATAGTGACCAATCATTTATATAGTTGAGTGGTTAAAATAGTGAATTTATTACGGTTGGGTAATCATAATCTTATGATTTGAATCACGGGTTTGAAATGTTAACCCGGATTAAAATTAATTTTTTTTATTTACTTTTACATAATGATTTTACTTTTCAATTTCATCATTCTCCTTTTTGTGTGTGGTATAATCATATATTTATAGGTGAATAAATTCTTTGATTTGAAGGCAAAACAAACTAAAATCAACCATTGAATTTAAAAAATAAATCCTAACCATTCATTTGATAACTTGGAGACAAAATAAAGAAAAATGAATCCTTGGATTAGAAAAAATAGGGTGCTTAGTGAGAGGGTTTTCAATTTTCAAATTGATCCTTTCCTATCCATAATTATAATTAGATCACTAAAAATTAAATGCATTTCTTCTTCTTCTTCTTCTCTCTCTCTCTCTCTAAATTGTTTGGAAAAGACATCAAAAATGATATAAATATGTCAAGAACATATTTTTGAGTTTTTTTGTTGCTATTTTTTTTTCTCAAAATGTTTTCAAAAATAGAATAAAAAATTGGATACAAACAAATGTATCTCTTTACAACGCTTATGAAATAAAATCTGATTAAGGTTTTGCATAGTGAGCTTGTAAAGAAAAAATATATACTTGACTTATTGGGTAATCCACCAATCCAAAGAAGAAAATGATCACATTATTATCGGTGATCTGTTCTCTTTTAAAATTCAATAAACCAGTTTATTTTTACGGATAACCTGTCCATTTTAAAATTCAAATGCTAGTCTATTTTCATAGACGACTTGCTCATTCAAAAATTGGTCTATTTACATGAGTGACCCGTCCCTTTTGACATTCAAAGATTAATCTATTTTCACAGATGATCTGTTCATTTTAAAATTTAAAAATTGATTTATTTTCACTAGTGACCTATCCTTTTTAAATAAATTTTTTTAGCAAATGTCCATATTTTTCTAAAATTAGTTTATTTTAACGGGCGACCCGTCTATTTTAAAATTTAAAAAACTGATATATTTTCAAGGGCGACTTGTCTTTTTTAAATCCCAGAAAGAACTTCAACAAGCATTTATTCTGAAATTGATCTATTTTCATAGGTGACTTGTCCTTTTTAAATTTTAAAAAGAACTTCATCAAGCATTCATGCTATTCTAAAATTGATCTATTTTCATGAGTGACCAACTCATATTGAAATTAAAAAACTGATCTATTTTCACAGACTACCTACCCATTCAAAAAATAGTTTGTTTTCATAGATGACCTATTTATTTTGAAATTCAAAAATCAATTTATTTTCACTAATGACCCGCCCTTTTCAAATTCTAAAAAGAACTTCAACAAATGTTTATGCTTCCCTAAAATGGATCTTTTTCATAGGTAACTTACCCATTTTAAAATTCAAAAACTGGTTTATTTTCTTGAGTGACCTTTTTGTTCAAAAACTAGTTAATTTTCATGGACGACCTACCTTTTTTGACATTCAAAGATTGACCTATTTTCATGGGCAACCTGCCATTTTTTAAATTCCAAAAGGAACTTCATCAAACATTTATTCTTTCCTAAAATTGATTTATTTTCACGAGCGACTTGTCCTTTTTAAATTTCAAAAATTAATCTATTTTTATGAGTGACTTGCTCTTCAACAAGAACTATGATTAAACTATTTACAGCTGGTTATTTTGAAATCCCACTATGGCAATTCCCTTTTAACAAAACTAAGATGTTGCCTTTATTTGGTTTAACTTGAAATCTCAATCTAGAGACCCCTTTAACCAGAACCTTGGTTTTTATGTTCAACTTGATCAATCTAAGATCTCATCTGGCAATTCTCTTTAATTAGAACCAAAATGTTGCATTCATGTCGGTCAACCTGAGATATCAATTTAACGATCTCTTTTAATCAAAACCAAAATATTTGTCTTCAGCTTAGTCAACCTAAGATACCAATCTGATAATCTCCTTTAACCAGAATCAAAATGTTGCCTCAATTGGGTTAACATGTAATCCTTATCTCAATAGTCCCTTTTAACTAGAACTTCTTAAGGGTGTCTTTAATTATTTTAATTATAGAATTGAAAATTGAATTCCTAATGATAAGGTTCTCAAAACTCAAATTCTTGATTGTAGGTTTTGTCTTGTTTTTCTTGATGACAGGGTTAGAACTTTATTATTTTCTTTAGAATTTTCTAATAGTATGGTTCTTCTCATTTTTCTTCCTGATTGCAGGGTTTAAAAACTAGGATTCTCAATGATAGGGTTGAAAAATTGGTGCTTCCTGATTGTAGGGTTGACCTAATACTTCCCGATCATAAGGTTTGAAAACTTGTGCTTTTTGTTTGCAGGGTTAACCTTCTCATTTCCTTGTTATCATAACTCAATGATTCTTTTTTTGTGAACTTAAATTCATGACAATTTTGCCTGATTTCATTGATTATTTTTTAATAATTCAAAAGCATTTATGCAATGCTTTAGGGATATATGATATACATGCATCGTTACCTGATTTGAAATATACCCCCCCCTTTTTGATATTTTATCGTTATAAGGTGCCTTTGTTTATTATCCACAATTATCTCAGTTTTTCTAATTCACTTGCTCATCCGAGTCTACCGTATGCCAGTTCTTCACTCAAATGTAAGTGTAATGGCCATCCTAAATTGTTCATGATGATTACTACTCTTATTGTTTGTCAAGTTTGATCATGTTTCTAAGTGTGGTGTTGTTTAACTAATCATAAAAGAGTTTAAAAAATCATTAACTTTTTGGATTCTCTCAAAATTGGCTTTTGATAAGTTGTATGTTATCTGCCAACAATCATCTAGTGTCAACCTCCTTTTAAATTGTCATTCAGGCATAAAATTGCTTTCAGTTGAACCATACTCTTGAAGTATATGTTATTATCAATTTTTATGGAAGTGTTAAGCATTAAAACAAGCTAAAAAACGCTTATCGTTGTATATTCAATGTTGCTGCAATCCCAAAGGAGGGCTTAATCTCCTTAATCTTGTCAACTTCATTTTGTTTCTCAAAATTTAGTTGCTATTTTATATCTTTTGAATCTTACTATGCTTTATACATATATGGAATATAGCATAATGCGATCTTTGTACTTGTTTTTGAAATGGAGATTATTAATTAGGAGAAATTGTTAGCTTATGGGCTTAATAGAATGTGTTTAAGTGAGGAATAAATAATTGGATTGATTTAATTATGCAGAAATTGGTGATTACTGCAAAAAGCACATCCCGTTGCTTCCTTTGCCAAAGGCTTCATAGAATTTGCTAAAGTGAAGATGGAACTACCAAAATCACTGCAGCGCATGGGCTCCTGCAAGCCTGTATCACAGGCTATTAAAGCCCAGTTATTTGGTCTTCCCTACATTTTACCTTTATGATGATGTTCTTATCATCGTGTGAGGAAGTAGAGAGCAGAGGGATGGAGATTTTAAAGATTTTAAGCTCCCCGTATTCAGAAATCTGAAACGTAGAGAGCAGAGGGATGGAGATTTTAAAGATTTTAAGCTTTAAGCAGGTTGGAGTTAATCCACTCCCATCTCATGCCTTCATGTATCAGCAAACCATGTCAAGATAAAAAGCCGAAGAGGTGAATCTCTATTATTCAAAGGAAAATTTGTTACTATTCAATCAAATTCTCAGAACAGAAAATCTACAGCATCTTTAGCCTAGGAATCTAAGAATTGTGTTCCAAACTTTCCATATTTACAACCTATTCATATCTCCCAAGTGCTCTCACAGGAGCTCCCAAGATTGGCATTTGTATCATGAACTGATACCCTGATCATATTACTATTTGATGATCTTGAAACATCCATACACTCATGCAAGTCAGCATCACGGGCAATCAAAACCCATTCATGATCATCATCCAGATACTTGATGTCAAATGTACCCACCTCCAACCTCAGCCTCTTGGCCACTTCCTCTTTTAACTCCGCAATCCCAGAACTCAGAGAGATTCGGAACCTTATTTTGTCTTCCCTATATGTTGCCTTTATGGTTACGCTATTCATTTCTTGCCTAGATGTTACATGCGGCATTGCGATCGAAAGAGCAGCAATCATTTGTGTGGGATTTATATCTGAACATAGAGGATCTGTCCATTTAGATTCTGGAACTCGCTCAACCACAATAGCATCTGCCATGGCAGGACAAAGGTTGCTCAAATCTTTCGAACTTCCAGTATCCTCTATTAGCATTCCACCAAATTGTTCTTGAGCTTCCGCTGCGAAAAAAGCATTAGGTATTGAGTAAGCAGCTGACAGATTTAGTTCCCTGGTTTGTTGAAGAGCCAGTTTTTTTGACCCCCCTGCTTTAACGCCTCGCTTATGGACAGGAGAAACAGATGGGTCCTTTGCAGGTGCACTTTCATTTTCTGGGCAACCTTGGCATGAGCCATGAGAAGTGGGAGTTCCTGCACTCTCATCCCTCGAACCTCCCCTTGTTTTGGATCTGTTTGAGCATTTACCTAACTCTGGTGAAAACCTGTTTTGCACAGTGAGTTCCTCTAGACTCAATTTTCTACATCCTAGCAATTGATCTTCGAAAACAGCCTTTACATCACTTCCTGGCGTTCTACAGGTGGGTGATCCATTCTTGTCACCTTGATGTTCAGGGGATTTAGAGTTTGGAGAGTTCTGTTGATTGCTCTCATTCAAATTGGGAGGCCAAGAAATGGTACCATCAGCGACAGGAAGAGAACTTGTAGTGAGAGGAGTTTGGTGAGTTCTGAAAGAAAATGCTCCTTCAGTGCCTTGGACTGATTCAATTACCCGCTTAAGCTTAGACAGGGAACGATTAACCTTCTTGATCTTGCGAGATGGCCAGCGAGATATCCCATGCTGCCTGCAAATGCGCTTCATTGTAGTAGGGCAAACTGTAAAGTGTAACACAAGAATTTGTCTAAGAATAATCCATTTTATAACATGCTATATCACAACATTAACCAGCTTTTATAAAGAAAGAGATCAGCATCTTGCAATAACAACAAGAAAATTACAATTGACAATTTATTCAAGTGCATAATCGTACCACCAAGGCTCATTGCAGCATCTTTCAGACTTCCAGTAAAATATTGTTGGAGAACCTCTAGACTAATCATTTTCTCTGCCTTTCCACGTTTCCTCTCTTTTGGCATTTTTGTCTCTTTCTCTGTAAGAGAAGCATGAGTTTGCGTGACATCTGCTTGAACAGCACTGCCTCCATTTTTTATGACATCCAAGTCAAACATTAATTGATTCTTTTCTGGATAAATTTGTACAATCGGTCCATTTAGCAACGCATTGTCATCTGGGGGGGATTTTGTAGATTGGGGTATCTGAATGCATTCAAGTCCCAAATCAAGTCTCCCATTAGTAGAAACTTGAATCATCTCTACAAATCCTTCCTCCTCTTCAAGTTCCATCCCAGAAGCAACCTTGAGACTCTGGAAATCCTGCTTCATTATTGCCAATATGGAGCCTAACAAAGTCTTCCATTCACGACTGTCTGTGATGCTAGGGGGCAGAAAAAATTCAAGGATGTAATCATCATCTCCAGTATAACTGCTCCGCAAGCAGATTGCAAAACAGCTGGTTAATCCAAACATGCGTGCATAATGTACTAGAGGATACTCAGTCTTGCGAAACTGGGTAATATCTGGGCAGAAGCACAGGTTGTGGGAAAAAAATGCCCTCCCAGCAACCCCTTGACCCTTTTGTAAGTGATGCTCAAGACAGGCCTCCCTAAAACCCCACATGTGAGCATCCACTACATAGAATGCCACATCAGTTGTGGACATGCAGACTTGCCCATTGCAACTGCCATCAAAGCTGGTACAGCTCTTCTTCAGACCACCGCCATAGGCCAGAACACTGCGATGCATGCATGGAACCCATGTCTGGGCCAAAGGCAATTTGTGAGTTTCACATACCATTGTCAATATCTCCAAAATTTCGGCCAGTGCATTTTGGCGACCTTCATTACAAATCTGGTTTAAAAGCAGTGCCAAGTATACATGTGTGAGAATAAAGGGGGAAGAAATGAGAAAAGAGGACAAGATTTATCTTGTTGTTCTCCAAATAATACCAGATTTTACATAAAATATGTTATTGCACCTCACCTGTGTGCTTGGAGGGTCCAATATCTCTGAACTTTTCAAATCTACTGCCTGCAGAACAACTGAAATTATGTGACTGGGAATCTCGATATGAATTACTTGCCAGGGTGTACGTAATATAATCAAAATAATCATATATTAAAGTTTTCCATAGGAAATCCCACTAAAAATTAAAGGATCACCAAGCTCAATCCAGAAAGGAAATAGCATGTAGTTAATATGCATATCAAAGGGAGATGAAACCTAACCTCAAGTGCCTTGCAGACTTTATCAACCTCGGGTGCATAGTTGATCTTATGTGAATTCATAATGAGTTCAACCACACCGACACAAGACTGTCCAGAAGGTTCGAAGACTGGCAAAGCCACGGTTCCCCGAACATTGTAGTGTATAGCATGATCAAGCCGTGGATACTCCTTGCTGGAGTAATACTGAACATTGGGAGTCCATTCCGGTAATTTTTGTCTGAAAACACGGCCAGGTAGCCCCAGCTCTCCATCACTCTCTCCGTCCACAGAGAACTTATACATAAGAGAGACCATCCTATACTGATGAAGTCCATTACTATGAGGATCAATAACGAAGGGTTGCCCTGAAGTTGTCAACGCATATCGACCCCCATTCTTCACAGGTGCCCAAACCTGAGCTAGAATATGTTGTTCAGTTGATTCTTTGAAATGTCTCAGGGCCCGTGTCATTCTCTCTTTAATAATACAGTACCCATCAGGGTTGTCAATTGGCCATAATCCCAAAAACGGAGAAGGAAGTTTACTGTTATCATCATTTTCCCCTTTGCTTTCAGTTACCGAATTTGGATTACCTGCATTGAGAAAATTTGCAAGTCAGCAGTGAAAAAAAAAAAAAACAAATGATTCGCCATCCTGATAGTGGTCGATGAGCTGCAATAGTGTATATAGAAGACAAACTGCGAGAAATTAAATGATACAGTAAACTGGTGAAAGAGCAAGAGCAGTCTACTTAGACTGGCAAAATCCTCTGTATGACCTCAAACTTGAAAGGATATAAATTTTGCCAAAAAGATGATGAAAAAGAACACCAATCTTGAACAAAGTCTCCAGATTTAAGGCAGTACTGAGTTCAGGTGTCGACTTATACCATTCATTTGAGAGAAGACAAAATTAAGACCATTAAAACAGACAAAAATCAATAACACCACTTTTTCCTTCTTGGATTTTGGTTTTCTCATCTCCCGGAACACTGGAGATCATGTTCATGTTTCGTTTTCATTGCTCGAGTCTTGGCTTTTATACAAGCACGCTTCCAGAGTTCAATATCTGTGATGAACAGATGCTTCGAGAAAGTTTTAGCTCAAATTCAGACACCAATGAAATTTCAATCCCTCAATACAATCAACAAGACAATAAGTTATACAATAAGCAGACCAAAGAAAAGTTCAAATTGACCGATCAAAAGCACTAAATATGACCCCAAAAAAATTAAACACAGAAAAGAAAACCCAACAGAAACTTCCTCTCTGCATTCACCACCGTACACAAAACAACAAACTTTTCAATCTGAGAAGGTAAGAAAAAAGTCAAATAATTTCTAACACCACCACAACAAAACTAAAAATTTACAACTTTTTCACCATTTCATTCATTCAAAGAAAGCATCTTTAGCATCAAATAATCTTCATTCATTCAAAGAAAGCATCTTTAGCATCAAATAATCTTCATTCATTCACGTACACAACACCAAAGTTCAAAAAGAAAAAAAAAAGAAAACAAATTACGGGACCGACATGTGAGTACGATAGGATTATCAGACAAGCGAAGGCCACCAACTAAAGAAGAGGAAGCCTGACCAGCAGCAGCACCAGCAGCAGCAAGAAGTCTATCATCAGCAGCATCAGAGAAAGCCCAGAGGGGAGAACAAGGCTGTTCATTAGAAGAAGAAATAAGAAAAGGTGACATGGGGTTTGAAGAAATAAAAGAGATCTGCTCTAAAGGCCAAGAGCTATCAAGATCAAGATCCAACTCCATTGACTTCCTTCCTTCGGACTCACCCCCTCCTCCAACTTCAGTTGGTTCTGGCATTTTTGTCTTGTTTTTTTTTTTAAGATTGAGAGTGGTTTACATTCAAAGAAACAAAGTTTTTATTGTGCATTAATATATTTTTCTCTTGCAAGAGATGATATGCAATTTGATGTCTTCTTCTTTGTTCTTTTTTTTCTTTTATCTGAACGAGAGAGGAAACGTGGGAGTGGTGGGGAGGGGGGAGGAGGGTGAAACACAATTTGGTTTTTGTCCTGCACAGATATTTGTGTGTGATTCCATGGAATCCATCAATTGTACTACTTGCTGCTGCTGAGGAAATGGAACATAAAAATAATGAGCCATCATTATCTGCTTCACTTCTCCTTCAATGAAACCAAAAACCAAACCATCCAAGTTGCCGCGTTCATTTCTCTTCGTTCTTTCGTTTTGTCCTTCTCCACGTCCTTCCATTGACTTAAAACTGCTAGTAAAAAAATAAGAAAGCTATTAGTTCCTAATTGCAAATTAGGACCCTATTTAATGTTATTTCAATTCATTCACTGTTACAACGTTTCACCAAATATATCCATAGTTTTTTCTTAAAAAAAAATAGTATCAGAGTGTTTATTTTAGCAAGAAAAATATGTAGTTTGTTCAATAAGAACAATAAAAAAAACTACAGAAATAAGTTGGTGATCAGTAACATTTGCCTCTTGGGTTGTGTTTGTAATTGTGCTTAATAATATTTTTTAAAGTGTGTTTTGTTTAAAAATATATTAAAATAATATATTTTTAATATTTATATATAATTAAAAAACACTAAAAAATATTAATTTTAAACTTTCTCAAAAAAATAAAAAAAAAATGATACAATAAGCATAATTTTAAGGCATCATCCATATTGCAGGTGTTTGAAAACCCACGACCTCAACAACCAATTTGCTTACACATTGAACAGGTATTTTTGGGAGGATATTTATTTTTTTTGCTTGTTTTAAAATTAAAGTAGTGTAATAAACTCGATAAAAAAAGAAGAAGAAGGAAATATTATAACGTTCTTGCACACCATGCCAATATGAGGGAAGCTTTTGATGTGGATTGAGAAGGGATTTAGCTTACACATAAGCTGACTCAAATATATTTTTACAGTAAAAAGAAAATTAAGAATTTAACTTCATTCAATTTGCTATGTTATGATCTTTTTTATTCTTTTTAAAAAGCTATACATTTATTATTATTTTTGTTGTTGTTTTTTAATTTGTGTATTTTTTTAAATCATTTGGAAAGCTATGCATTTAAATTAAAACAACAGTAATATCAGAAACATAATATCAAGGAAGAAGAATCAATGTCGCCCTCAAAATATTAATAGATGGAGACTTATCAATCTTACTAGGATCAATGCAGAAGTAATAAAGTTAATGAAAAAACAAGGATGAAAAATATAATCCCACACAACCCCCAATACACACACACACATGTATGTATGTATGTATTAATTGGTACCCTCATGGTATTAAAAATTCATTCTTAGATTTTCCATTCAAATCTGTTAATAAAATTTCCAGTTATTTTAGATTCCTCATTCAAATTTATTAATATTTTTTTTCTATTTCAAGAATAAAATGATACTGTTTCATAGATAACTGAACAATTTGCATCAGAATCTTACAATTATTTTAATTAATGCAACTTGGTTAAATGTAGTATTTGATTTTGTGATAATAGTTATTTTTTAAAATATTTTTTATTTAAATAATATATTTTTTATATTTAATATCAATACATAAAAATAATTTATAATTTTAAAAAATAAAATAAAATAAAATTTAAAAATATTTTTAAATGCAAAAAGTCACAAGGACTCCCGCTACAGAAAATACAATATAGTCACATGCAACAATTTTCTAGCAAGCCAATTTAATGCCCTGAAATGGAAATTAAATAATGTTTAAGGGTGTTATTATAATGGTTGTGATTGTTTTTTAAAGTATTTTTTAATTAAAAATATATTAAAATAATTTTTTATTTTTAAAAAATTATTTTTGAGATTATCATATTAAAGTGATCTAAAAACAATAATTTAAAAAAATTAAATTTTTATAAAATATTTTTAAAATACAAATAAATAATATTAAATAGCCATTGTATGTTATAATATTCAAGTGCAAATATATGTGGAAGTTGGTGTCGTAGAGAGTCCAAGAATACGCAGTCTAAAACTACAAATTATAGCTAGCTGTTTATTTCGACGGAGTCGGCGACATTGACAAATAGTCTAGCTAGTGATAGTGTTGTGGTAGGTTAGTATATTTAAAAAACAAATAATTTATAAAATAATAATGAAAAAATAATCAGGAATTTAGTATAGTTAAAAGAGTTGGAAATGATATTTGTAATTTTTTTAACAGATCAGAATTTATTTTATCATTAATTTCCTAGAAAAAAAATAGCAATTCATACAATCATAAATAATTGAGTTCTTTATCATTAAAACATAATTTATATAAGTAGTATATAATATATTTAATCATAAATAACAAATGTACACTATGACTTAAGACAGCATAACATTTTATTAAAAAATAAATTAATTATATATTTATTCATAATTATCATAACATATAATAATATGTAATTTTATCTAATAATCTTTCTAGTTTGTTCAACTCGAGAGTAGGTTTGTAATATTTATATAGCTTTGAAGAGGATTAATTTCATCCTAGCTTGTTTTTGTTTACGGGTTGCTTATGGACAGGTCAGCATCCACAACGCTCCCACAACAAACAATCACGTCTTTTATTAATGTTATTTCAAGACATATAACCTCCTTAACCTCTTAAAGTTCACCACAACATAAATTGAGTGTGATGTTGGCCACAATACATTTCATTTCATTGATACCTTCATGAATAGTTATTGTTGTTTTCCAAACTATCCATATCTAGTAATTAATCTATATGCATGTATTAAAAACCAATTAGTAGTCATCATCTATAATGAAATTATTCTAATATTTAATAAATGTTAAACAATATTGCACACTAATAGATTTTGTCACGGATATCAGGGAGAATAGTTTATAGGGTTACATGGCATCTCGGGAAACATGATCAAGTTGATGTAATGCGCGTAATAGACATATACCATGTCATATATGTATTCATATTAATCATAGGTTGTCGTTCCTCAAAAACACGATATCTCCAAGCATCCAGAGATCAAGGTAAAATGCATAAATTACCACCCAATTTCCATCGCGCTTATCCTGATGAATAATATTATGTAGCTTATTCTTGATATCAACATAACCTGGTATATACTGAGATAATCCAAAATATTGCATTATTTTATCTGAACATTGCATCTTAACAATGTTAAAGCAATGCAAATGAATTTATGCTAACCAAATATTAGATCCCTCACGACATATAGGCGAAGCTAAAAATATCAAGTTTTTCATATATAACATCCATATAATCTATTAGAACATATAAAATAGTCATCTCAAATAATCAATTGAAACTAAATAATTAGCTTTAAAATAATAATAAAAAATTAAATATATTAGTAATATACATCTAATGCAGCTGTTGTGTGTTCAACTTATCTCAATATAACTTATAAATATAATTAAGATTTACTATAAAATATCTAATCTCACACCATTTTACAGGATAAGCTAGAAAGCTAGCATAATTTTTTATATTTAATTTATATAAATAACATGTTAGTTATAATTAATTATATTTTATTATTATATGAAACTAATAAAGAATAGCTTTTAACTAGCACTGTCAATCATGTTATCACCCCAGCTCTATGAACATTTGATACGAATATGTTCTTATGACCAGAGTTATATTAATAAAAATTAAAAACTATAAGTAAGTATTGATTAATTTTATTAATCAAATAATTTAAAATACATTTTTTTTTTCAGATATGCATTATATAATTCCCAGTATAAATATGCATACATGACTTTTCCTAGCTATAATTTAGAATAACCTAAAAATCATCAAGTATCATTAGAAAAAATAATAAAATTACGTTATCAATAATACTCGTGAAAATAAATCCTCCACACTTATGTAATATATATGTACGAGCATTCACACGGTCAAGGAATGTGCTCTTCGTATTAGATTTACCAATCCAGTTCCTCACAGCTTCTTCGTTTTACTAGAAGGTTGCGCGCTTGCTTTATTTTCACTTTGCGTTTCAGCTTTGATATCTGAGAAACTCCCCCCTTTGTTCTCTTTTACAAATTTATCCTCGATCCAGGGCTCTCCTTGCATGTTCACATAAAACTTAGCATTCCTTCTTCTCCTGTCTCTCTCTAAACAAGAGTAGTCGCTTCACTGTATCTCCCACAACTTAATTCTTGCTCTACCAAGTCACATCAAAAAAGAATTAAAAAAGAGTTAGGAAGCATACATACATATACATACATGTATATATATATATAAAACAAGAAGAAGAAGAAAGAAGACAGAAGGCAGCGTGGTATTGGTGCCTTTCTGTGTGTGAATGGCAACAAATTTACACAGAAAGACACGAATATCACGCTGCCTTCTGTCTTCTTTCTTCTTCTTCTTGATATATATATATATATATATATATATATATATGAACAAAAGATTCAGTGGAAAAGAGGCTGTTGTGGCCACCACTGATGGGTTTAAATATTTCAACAATTGAGATCCGATTCATCTCTTTTACGACAATCATTTGTCCTCACGGGCAAGCCACTTTCCAGCTTAGGCATTAACAATTACCACTATGATTCTTGTACAGAATCATTATTATCGTTTTAATTTAAGTTCCATGTGAGTTTGTTCCTTATATTATATTCTTGAATTTAATTCCAAAAAAATAATAATTCAGTTCAGATATGGTAAATTAATTTGCTTAAAATCCAATTGAGAAGAACTTAATATTAAAATTAAAAACAAGTCCGAAATATTCTAATGGTTAAAATTATATTTATGTAAACATCACAAGATAATAAAACTTTATTTTTTATTTTCTATTTTCTTTTAGTGGATTGACTACGTCTAAAAGACATAATAAAATGGAAGAGGAACTCTAGAGGTGTTTGGAATAATGGTTGCAAAACCTTTTTAAATTATGTTTTTATTTAGAAAAACATTAAAATAATCTTAATATTAATATATTAAAATAAAATAAAAAATAAAATTTCATGCATCTCTAGTTATCTGGTCACTTTACGGACTTTACGCAAAGTAGTTAAAGTCAATCACTATTTTTAATAAGTTAACAGTGGATAAAATAATCACTATAAATAATCTTTCCTCCTGCTAAGAGAAAGTGACGTATGAAATCATAATTTATGCTGACAAGAAATCCAAATTGGATTGCATTTCCGCGCAGCTATAACTGGAACAAAAAAACATCATCCAGAAGCTGTTAGGAATTGCATTTAAAAAGTATTTTTAAAAAATTTTAAAATTTTATATTTTAAATTAATATATTTTTTATTTTTTTTAATTATTTTAATATACTGATTTTAAAAATAATTTTTAAAAAATAAAAAATATTATTGAGATACTTTTCTAAATAAAAAGCATTTTGAAAAGTATTAGCAACTATATTTCCAAACATGCTCTTAACATAATGCTAAAAGTAGTTGTTTATCTACTATTTTATGATTTTTTTTAAAAAAAATATTTTATATTTTAAAATTATTTTAATGTATTAATATTAAAAATTATTTTAAAAAAATAAAAAATATTTTAATGTTACAAGACGTTTAAACACTCCATTAAAACAAACATCATTAGCTATCAATGAGGTTGCTCTAGTGTTCTATCATTTGCTTCAATTGCATAATGCACCTTTCAAGTTTAACAAATGTGACGAGTTACTAGCTCATCAAATAAAGAGTACTTGATGTGGTAGGCTCGTAGCGGGAGATTATTCAAATACATAGGATATAATTTACACGGAAATACTTGATGTCATCTGTACGTATTCCAATACTGTCGAGGGTCAACTAGCAACATACGATTAGAAAAATAATCGAGCTATAAGCTGGCTTGATGGTTTGTGCTGCCCATCTGCACTAATTTATAGAATTGACAATTAGGAGTTGATGTGAAGAATCCTTTAGAAAGCTGTTCAAGATTCACAAATTCTAGCAAAATGAAGAGTTGAATAGTTAAAGAAAATGATAGAACTATATAATATGTGACAAACATTACAACGACCTTGTTCTTTTACTTTTAGAGGGTCAACTTATCTTGATGGCAGATTTGTGGAGTTGTGTATGTTAGATAGAGCTTCAAATTAGTAAATATTGCATGAAAGCCTAACGGTTCTCAAGATGACCAGAGACTAGTTATGGAATTGAAACTTGAAAAAGATCTCTCATCTACTCGTTGAAAGTACGTGAAATGAGCTGCCTATGGACTGGATTTGCCAATAAGTTCCTAGTGGCATAAACTATCTGCAGAAGAGAAAATTCGGGCTCCAAAAACTGCCCAACCCAAGCTTTCACTGTTTCCTTTCGTACAGGTGAAGAGACTTTCCTCTTTTGGTTTTGGTCAAGCGGGAATGGGGAAAGCATGGAAAAGAATAAGTGAAGCCAATCATGAGGTAGGTTACCAAAACATATCGAACCCACAATGGGTTACAGGGTGATGCCACATTCTAGAAATGAACCGAGAAAACAAAGAACAAGCACATATCTAGAACAACAACGAGCATCTGAGAAACAAAATGCCTTGCTCCAGTGCCACAAAGGATATCCTGCTACGCCTGGAAAATATATAAACTTGTTCAGCCTTGTAGAATTACTAGTGCACGTGTATCAACCTGAAGTTTACTCGATGAATTGCAAATTCAACATTGGCTTTCATATGCTGAATTTTAGTGAGATCTTGATATCAAAAAGGTGGATCACATCTTGTATCTCGTGTGGAAATACACTCTTTCAAGACTGAGATGCTAGCAGTCTTAGCCTCTTAGGCTAAACGATGTTAAACTTCTTTGTTCTGCTTTAAAGGCAACGCAATATAATCATTATAATACAACTACTGCCTTTACCCCCAGAACATGCTCCTCACAAGATTATCTTGCAAATTGGACACGAAAACTCAGAATCCCCTGATGAGATATGCAATGAAGCTATTGCTCCCTGAACAAAGATGATTTGAAAAGGCCTAGATACAGCAATTGTCACATACATGACACAAGTGGAATTTCTTCTTGAATTGGATGCGTTCTTGGGTGCCCTTAGTGGGTGGGAACGTTGGTGAACAATGACATGGTTGTACTCCATAGAAGTAAAAAAATGACTGTTTGTCTAGATGCCATATGCTAATTAGCGTCTTGATTTTTGTTGGGGAGGGTATCCAGTCCCCGTTCCAGGTGGGTCTTTCCTTCTCAGATGATGCTGCTGATGGGGCTGGGCAACCCCACGTGGCAGAGGGATGTTACCAGGATTCATTCCACCACCCATCCCTGCCTGAGAAGAGAGATTATAGGCTGCCAAGCCCTGAGATTGCATTCTCTGCACGCCCACAGACATTGGTCGAGGTGCAGATCTGCTGTTAATTCCATGAGCACCTGGCATGCCTCCAGAAACCGCATTTCCAGATGAGACAGGTTGTGGAGGTTGAAGGCTAGTTGTTCCTTCAAAATCTGTATTTGTATCTACCGGACGAGTAGGATAATTGATGACCTTCTCTCCAGGTTGAGAGGGAACCAGGGCATTCCGTCCAGGTAGAGGTTCACTACGAAAATAATCGTGCTCTATAGCTTGTGCAGCTGTTATACGCTTTCGAGGATCATATTCAAGCATCTTAGATAGAAGGTCAAATGCAGCACTTTTTGGGGAGAGAGGCACAACACCATGCAGTCCAGTATTCTCATACTTGTGCTCTTGGATGTGCTGCACGTCATTATGCCAGTGCGGAAGACTTGCAAGTGTTGGCCATTTTTCTAGTGTAGGATGGCCCAAAACCTTAAATATCTTGTCAAGTTGATCAATCTGGAAAGGATTTGATGTCGATTTGGCTTCTGCCCCTTGAAAAAGTGGCTTCAAAGTCAAAAGTTCAGCAAAAATGCATCCAACAGCCCACATGTCAACAGCACTTGTGTAGTGCTTAGCACCCAGAAGCAACTCGGGTGCACGATACCAAATGGTTACCACAACACCATTATCAGACAAAGCCTTCAAGGGAGCTTGATATATTCTTGCCAGTCCAAAATCAGCAATTTTGACGACCCCGTGCTCCTCTCCCTCACCCATAACTAAGATATTTGATGGCTTTAGATCTCGATGTATGATCCAGTTACTGTGCAGATAGTTCAGTCCATTGAGTAGCTGCCAGAGCAATGATTTAACAGTGTATTGGTTGATCAAATTGTTACCCTTGTCTCTGTGATGCCTGATGATTTCATAAAGGTCATGTTCAGCATAATCAAAAGCCAGATACAGTGACATATCAGTATGATTAATGTGCACATTCACAAGCTTCACGACATTCTCATGAGTAATTTCCCTAAGCAGCATGATTTCACGGATGGCAGTGGGAGAGACACCATCACCATCCTTGGACTGCTTGAATTTCTTGATGGCAATGGACTTTCCACAATTTGCAGGAGACTTGGTCTTTGCTAGGAATACAAGACCATAAGTGCCTTCACCAATCTTGCCAATAAGATTGTACTGTTGCAGCCACTCTGGCTTTTCACTGTTGTTGTTGCTTCTATTATTGCCGTCTCCCATGGTTGCAAAACAACTTTGGCTGTGTGTCCTTACAACCGAGGTTGCTGCATTGGCGCTGAGATTGAAAAGAAAAGGGTGCACCAGTTTCCTGCACCAGCTTGCAGATCCATGAACTTAAAATGCAACTGCTTACTGTCCAATAATGAAATTATTAGGAAGATAAGAAAAAGAAATTGAAATCTTTGGAAGTACGAATGGATTATCAATTGAGAATGTTTCACAGTTAGTTTCTCTATAGCTACATGTTCAAAAGCCTTGTTCTGCAAACATTACTTCAATAAGAGATTTCTAGAAATAAATTTCAAAATGATACAGCATGTCAGCATCTGCAAAGTGTTCAATTCTCAGTGAACCTCTCCTACCCAACCACTACAGGGACTGCTGTGTTCAAAAGCCTTGTTCTGCATATATTACTTAAATAAGAGATTCCTAGAAATAAAACTTAAAACGACACAGCATCTGCAAAGTGTTCAAATCCCAGTGAAATTTCTCCTATCCAACCACTACAGGGAATACTATGTCCACGACCCCTTCCCACTTCTTGTTTCAATCCTATGAATCGAAGTAAGATGCAATAAGATGAAAGTGGAAATAATGTTTTCATCTTAACAAAAAAGCACAAACAAAAATCTTCAAGGTAACATAATACCACAAGCTCTCACCAGGTAATGTATATAAATCTTTCCCTTCTACTATAAACACCAAAATCCAAAGGAGAAAAACTTAACCAAACAATATTTACAAGGGCATTGGAACACCGATGATCATCAGCGAAAGAGATTTTCAGGCTTTCAAACGCTGAAATTCATAATTGAAAGAGAATATGTGAGTTTTCCCGACGCAAAACAAGATTAACTAAACTATAGTAGAGAATTATTTGCTATATTAAAGATTCCCAAAAGATTGAATCTTCATAACAAGCAACACCAAAACTATTAAAGACGCTAACTTTCCAGTTCGTAACCAGTAATGATACTCATAAGAAAATGAAAAAAAAAACCTCAAAAACTGAATCCCACGAACCAAACCCAGAACCCAGTCAATGTTCAATGATCAAGAAAAAAAAGCTAAGAAAATCAACATAGATAAGCAAAAATACAGTTGAGCGTATCGATAAAAAAAAAACCCAAGGAAACTCACCTTTCGAGCTGAAACTGGATCGATTCAAGACCTTTACTATCACTCTAAAAAACCCAGATCTTGATTCTTGGTATCTATCTATATAGCTACCTCAAGGCTCAAAAAAGCTAGTATCTTTTTGTTATTGAGATACACACTGAGTGCATAAATCAATAAGACATGTCCCGGAGATTTAAAGGAATTGGAGTTAATTTTCGTGATTAAAGTCAGTTTTCTTTGAGTCGGGTTTTTCTTGACACTGAATGCGGGCTTGCAGAGTTGTAACGTAAAGCTCTGTTTGATTACGAAAATCTTACAGCCTCCCAGCTTTTTTTTTTTTTTCAATTTAAATTAGAGCATTTTAAAATCTTCATAGATAACTTTTTAAATATATTTATCAAAATAGATTATTTTATGCCATGTAAGAGAAATAAGATATTATTTTCCATGTCATTTTATTTTACATAATTAATAAAGATTTAAGAAATTATTTTTCTCTTTGCAAAAGGAAAAAGCCCATATTGGAACTTTTTATACTCGAATCTCTGTCTATATATATATATCCTTGTAGCATCCATCTAACAACAACGATATAAATGTACTTAGAAGAAATTCATGCTAATTCTTACATGTTAGGTTTGCTGACTCCGCAAATTGATTGGGAAGTTGGTGACTGGTTATGGAGCAGTGGCCGACGCCCAGAACATCCCCTTAGCCAGATTCTCAACCTCTTCATGTAACTTTGCCTGATACAGCTCGTATTCAAATGAATAGAACAGAATCCTGTAGACAAGCATCATGAAGCCAACTGTGCATTTCCAACCTGATCCATCGTCTAAGCAAGAAGGTAGTGGCATCGCGAAGGGCAGACCACAACGAGAATGGAAAATGGTTGGGAGATCAGTGGCTGGTGTTATATTTTAATCAGCTTTCCATCTGAAAGAAAAAAAAAAAACCCTTTTTTACTTTTTATTTCATTTTTTGTTTGATCCTGCAGCAAAGAGCTCCACTCTGGCGAGGAACATTAAGAGGAAATTATGATCGAAAACCATCATGTTCAGATTCAACCATGTTTGTTAGAATTACTTTATTTTAAATCAATAAAACTAAGTTTATTGACGAGAAAAGAATTGCAAAACCCATGAGCTATTAGCTAGCCACAAAGGCCGTCAAAAAGAGGAATTGAAAAGGGCAAGAATCCCAGAAAGGATATAAGCGAAAACAAAAAAAAAAATGAATGAAATCTGATTGTAAAAGCAAACCTAAGGACAATTGATGAAGCCAAGCAAATCAAATAAAGGTATGGCTTCATGCAAAATTGATGCCTCCAATAACAAGTCATGATTATCATATGGTGATTTGGTTCATCTTGTGAAAGATAGAGTTAATTGTAATAAGTTGTCCTTTTATAACTGTTCTTGTTAATTTGATTTGGTTCATGGGATATTGAGTGCTCAAACAGGATCTTACATCTTTAAATCAGTGGGCAATGCTACCATGCTATTGGTTCTCTTTTGCCATCTCACAATCAAGCACGAAGGTTTGCCCAGCTCCTAATCTCTTGACACTAAGAATGAACCTTGTCTATTGAGACAACACTTCATCAACCTTAAATAAAATTATTGTCAGTGGACTTCCTGTAATGCTAGATTTATCCAACATAGTGTAAGGTTGTTCTGTCAAGGTAGGGATAGACTCGATAGGGTGAGTGGTCCTAATCGTAGGCTTCATTTGATCTTCAGTAGAGATAATGATTCTAAACAATACGATGATCCATCTTCTAAAGACACGAGTGGTCTGGTTCTTGGAGATATTGATGATTCTCAAACTGTAATTAGACATTATCATAGAAAGTTTTCCGGAGACTCTATAAAGGATCCCTAAACTTCATCCAGAGTTTGTCTCTGCAATATCCACTCATTTTTCCTTACGACGAGGATGGATTTCATACCGACATCCATTGGCTAATCAAGAGCAACAACCACCTAGAAAGCATTGAAAGGTTCTAATGAGAGCTTATTAGGCTTATCTTATTCACGAAAAAAATGAGGGAGAAAGTACTTTTGCTAAAGGAGGATGACTTTACCAGTAATTTTTAGTTGATGTATTTGTTAATGTTGAATAAGATCATCTTGATTACATTCGAGCAAACCAAAAGAGCCTTGGAACTGAAGCTTATAAAGGGATACGGAAGGCTAATCTTAGAGGAGACATTGATGGGTTAACCACCGCCACCGGAAAGGTTATCCTTCTATCTTCATTGATTGGCAGTACATAATACATGATAAATAATTATCAGGATGCCATGACCATATATAGATATTACTGCAATCAAAACTTTTTTATGGCATTAACCTGCGATGTTCACTGGCTTGAGATACAAAGGAAGATAAGATTAAAAAACAAGAAACTATCAGCCTGAAGATAAGCCTAACATTATTGTCAAAACTTTTGGATATGATATCATTCATCAAATCAGGAAAACTTTTTGGTCGAACAATAACCGATATTTTTTTATGCACAAATCATATATTTTCCTTTTTTTTCTACATTGTTCTTGACAATTTCATTTACATTTTCTCTTTATAGACGACTGAATTCCATAAAAGAGGCTTGCTCACACTCTTTTGTTGGTTTGGCCTGTCCCAAAATTCAAGTGTCGCTTGCTCGAGGACATTTATTCAATCATTTCTGTTGAAATACCTGACAAGAATCAAGACTCAATTTGTTATGGAATTGTCTAATGATTTATGTTGTATGGCTCATGTAGGGTTGCAAACCCCAAAGTTCAATGCATGAAAAGAGACAAGTGTTCTAAGCGCTTCCTAAAAATATATAGAGAATCACCAGTGTCTGATGAGAACGCATTTTTCTATTACAGGCATCGTAAACGGCCTGATTCCTCCATTCTTAAAACTGCCATTGCTCTCTTAAATTGTCTTGTTATTCCATGCAATTGAGAGTTTTTTTTTTTTTTGTATTACAATACTCATATAAATTTTGTAATTTGCTGCATGTCGTTATTGCTTATCAAGATGTATGTCTGTGGAAAGGGAAAGTAATGATAAGATTCAAGCATATCTTAGTTGTAGATTCATTTGCCCAAATAAAGAAATCTAGCGGCTCTTACAATTCCCGATCCATTCAAGGACCCTGTTTGTCAAAAGACTTCGAGTCTATTTGCCATTACAACATCATGTTTTCAATCCCTCTTATCCGTTCTTGGAAAGCTTGGAATTAATAAGACAATGCTTACAAAATGGTTCAAACTGAACAGGAATGATGTTAAGGTAAAGAGCTTTTATTATTCATAGTTCCTAAATAAGTATGTTTAGGGCAGAAAGAGTGGGTCCCCAGATCATGGGGTTTCTATCTTGGTTGAATAACCTGTGTTCATCCTATTTCTGGAGAACTTTATTTCATTAAGATGCTGCCGAATCATGTTAAAGAGGTGACAATCTTTGAAGACTTACGCATGATATCCATGATAATTTATCCAAGTTTTCAGCTTGCCTATAAAGCTTTGAGGTTTTTAGAAGCCGATAAAAAACAGATTTGAGATTTGATTTTTTACCGGGCTATTGCAATAACTCCGGGAGTGTTTGGAAATACGATTCAATCTATATCTCTAAAAAAATTAAATTTGTTTTTATTAAAAATTAATTTTTTTATATTTTAATATATTGATTTTAAAAATAATTTTTTAAAAATTAAAAAATTAATTATAACCACACGGTTTATCTCCACAACTAAGGCAACTTTTTGTTAGCATCGTTCTTTTATAGGAAGTGGCTAACCCAAAGGGTCTGTTTGATAAGTTTTGACGTTCAATGTATAATGATACTAAATATCACCTAAGATCTTTTGTAATAAACATTCTCCATTTAACTAATGTCGAGCTCATGAATTATATATTTGTATGACCTTGAACGGTTTCTTGATGCTTTTGTAACATCCCTCAAAGATCACATATTACCAACATCAAATGGTTGAGATTAGGAACAAGCTTTGGAGAGAAAAGCTTAACTATTATATAATAGAACTCAGAAACAATCATTCATCAGTTATGCCTTGACTTAATCAATACCAAAGTTATGGGGTCAGTGCTAGAGAAAAGACAAGCTCTTACATTTGTCCCTATGTATGGTAGGATAGAGAAAACTTTTTTATGGTGTATAATTATTAATTGAAATTATAATTATTATATAATGAAACATAGTATTTCTTATGTTTTTGAAAGAAAAAAAATATAAGTAACATTATTATCAATCACATAATAGCATCCAAAAATAAGGATTTTGTGAGCATATGTTGAAATCCCTTACATTTCCATAGAGAAATTAAATCTTAAACCCAAAAAAGGATACATATTATCAAGCAGAAACTACAGATAGTCTCTCTATTGTTTCCTACCATGCTTGATCTCCATTTATTTTGCTGTTTCAAATCTGATCCAAGCAAGTAAACACTGAGCCTTCCTTTCTAGACTTGCGCATGCTGAGCAAGGCCGTAAACAGGCGCTTGCTCTTAGTAGAATATTGTTGATCACTATCCTTTGCCTTGTCTCTTTCCGAATACATGGACAATGAAACAGATCTCCGAGGCTCCGATGGATACTGAGATATAAGGAATTGAGTGAAAAGATTATGTTTACATCAGTTTCAGAATTAATTCAGGTTAAAGCAACAACCTTTTTAACAAGTTTCAAGTCATGACTATTCATTGTCTGGGATTTTTTGACAGCCTAATCTCATATGTCATTCCATGTTCTTTGTAATAGTTGCGCTTACCCTTCGTAGTGCATTAGCATAAGTAGGAGATATTGGTCTCTTAAGAAGAGATCCAGAGCGCATGATCGGAGAGCGTTGCGGAGAAGATGATCTTTTCTCTGATTAAAAAGGAGAGACAGAATCATGTTATAGCACACTGATAAATCTGCAGCGTGTACTGCAAATTTTCCTCTAGACGAATATGAAGAAGAATTCATTTGCACAAACCAGGTTTGTTGTTGGATGAAGTCCTTGTAAATGTAAATGTTCCCTGTCCCGAGTAGAATTGTGGAGACCGTAATTCAGAATGCCTCTCTCTGCATTAAAGTTATACATCGAAGTCCTCGGTCATGATGAAACAGGCATGGTAAGACGGTCATAGTAATGGCATACATGGCATAGGGATTACCTGAAGAAAGAGGAAGGGGTTCCTTCGATTGACGCTTGAGCAGCTTGGCATAACAGTGACATCAAGAAACGATTAATGAGTTTGAAAGAGGTTTTTTGGATCATAAAAATTTGGTATTTGATTGATTTGCTATAAGCACATTGTGAACCATCAGGAGCGGGAGTATCATACCATTTTTAAACTTGAGCAAGTCGTTTTCAGTGCTAAGATTTCTACTATCATGATTTGGTTTAGCATGGCTAAATGAATCCATGGTCTCCTCGTCAACTGAACAGAGAGTTCCAGTGTCAGAAAAATCTTTGCATATTGGAAATGTAGAGAAAAATGCAGAAGGAAAATAGGAGAGATCAAAATATTTACCTGGGAAAATGTACCGCTTGTAGTGGTAGGGAGTTTTTATCACCAGTGATTGTTGAGAAAGGCCACCTTGGTTGATGTATTTTTGGCAAGCTTCCAGTCTCTAAGGCATGGCACAGGAAAAGGTATATAGTATATATTGAAGTCTTGGACAGTCTAGCATGGTTTATATTCATGTGTAGACAAGTGACATGTTCAAGGAAAGCAAAATAATATCATAATAAATGATTTCACGAGCATGTTGTGATAATGTTTCAGCACTGTCCCATAAAAACCTGAAATTCAATCTCACTTGTATAGAAGAATGTATGATGAAGGGTTAAGGGGAGGCCGGAAGGGAACAATACCTGTTTGGAGCAAGAGAATCGAAGCCCCATTCCTGAAACTTCATCAATCTTCTGATCTAAAAATTTGTCAACTTTGTATGCTACAGAACCCAAGTGGTCCACAGTATTGATCAAAGCTTTGATGGCGTAACCTTTCAAGTTCTCCACCACTCTGCGCTTAGACAAAGCCGGTGGCCGGGGACGACCATTAGCATACTATGTCACATTCATGGCATTTACAATGGATTTGAAAATTGACTCACATTTGTTTCTGGTCTTCTTTGTTGTAAGCTAATTCAAAATAATCTGCTGCTGAGTATAGCTGCTTCCTAAGGTTCTTCAAGTCCTAATCAAACAAAACAACTTTCTTTACTAAAACTAAAGTAATCATTTCTACAATTATCACTGAATTTCTAGCAACCATTGGAGTCTTCATGCAACCTGGAGACTAACGGGAGAATTTTACAAGAGTGTGTACCTTGAGAGTATCAGAAAAGAGCAAGCTCTGTTGCATCAGAAGTTCCTCATGAATGGAAGGTTCTTGAGGACCATTTACTGAAGAGGATGAGGTCTTACTATCCATGACAATGAAACCTGGCCTTTTTAGCTGCCAATTAATCAAAACCACATCAACATTTAAGACCTACCAACTCTCATTACTTCATGAAAACGCCCCCTCCACTGCACCACATGCCCTTGACTCTTAAACAAGTGTGAAAAATATAGTTACGAGGATAGACATTAAAAGTACAGAAAATATTTCCAACTAATGACTCTATGGCAATCAAATGGAAACAGGACGAACAAAGAGAAACCATTAAGAATCCGAGATTAAATAATATCCTGAATTCTGGGCAACCAAAATTCTTAATCAACTCAACATACAACATGGTACCATATAGCTTGGTTGAGTTGAGGACTGTAATTCTGAAACTAAACCAATGAGTTAAAGATTCAGAACTTTGTTTTCTACTACTCTCTTTTCCCCCCTCTTCGAGCTTGCAAATCTTTAAAGATTCAGAACTTTGTTTTCTACTAATCTCTATATCATCAGAGAGCATGTGGACTATAGAGATTATAAGATCAGAAAACCTCAGAGAAAATGTATTTCATAGACATGAAATTGTACAGAGACCAAAAAACTCTGCATATTGATCTTTCCAGTTAAATATTGATCCCTATGCTCCTCAAAAAGGAAACCAATAACACTATTGCAGGCAACACTCGTACTTCAGCAGGTATAATCACATAGTTAAGTTTGAGGGAAAAAACACAGAACACGAGATTTTTCGAAAGTTTATTGAAGAGTGTAGCAGAAATGACATAAAAATGACAGGCTAGGAGAGATGTAAACCATGAGAGAAGGAGACAGAGAGCCAACCTAGCGTTCCTTGTTCTTAATTTAATTTAGAACTGGAAATGCAATCCCAAACCCACGTTGCATTTGAAATCAATATTCCTTGTAGATATCGAAATACTCTAAAACACTGAAAACGAAGTAAGGGGTCTTCATTTATCCAACATATATAATGAAGTATCTTGACTTGGTTCAACTAAAAACAAAAGATGATAGTGAAGTTATGGTTTAGAAGATAATACATAACCGTACCTTCATGGGAGAGAGAGGGAGAGAAAGAGAGCAATTATTATTGAAAGGAGACAGAAATCTTTGCAAGGAAAGAAAGGAGGCAAGAGAATCTCACGAGTTTGTTGTTGTAGTTAAGAGATGAACTTGTTACTTTTACCAACAGTTTGGAAACAGAACTGATATCTTTTCTCTACTGTTAGCTAGGAGGGCCCTATTATTAGCGGGAATCGGCCACATGTCAATTATATGCTGGTTTCATCGTCTACCGACTAATGTAGCGCTTTAGAAGATTATTTTTTTGAAATGTTTTTTTTATATACATATTAAAAAATTATTTTCAATATTGTATACTAAAATAATTTAAAAAATAAAAAAAAATCACATTTTTTAAAAACTTCATTTACTTACGGTGCCAAACATCCTCCTACAACACACGTCAACCAAAAGTAAATGACCAAAACAAAAAAAACAGAATCAATCCAGGCTAAAAGATGCAAGTTTATATTACTTGATGATTTTTATTTTTCTCACAAGTAGATAGGTCAAGGACACCTAACCAAGGGGATCATAATCATAGATGGAGTTGGTATCAATGCTCATGACTTTGAGGTATAGAGTTATGTTTCAAGAACAACCCATTTATGGCTGATAAATGAACCCCAACCATTTAAAAATAAAAATAAAAATTGGGAAACAACCCGTTTGAGGCTGATAAATGAACCCCAATCATTTAAAAATAAAAATAAAAATAGGGAAATTAACATCTGCACCGACACACCATGCAAAGACAGGGGAGATTTAGGTAGAAAACATGGAACAAACAAAGCAACAGTACTAGGGATTTCTTTTTCCTGAAGCTGTAGTATTTCTTAAGTTGCTGTCATTTTCGTTAAAAGCAACATAATCTTTCTACTTTTTTGTTGCCGGATTACGCTTGCATTGGAGATTTAGCTCCGCCAACAATGATACACGTCCTATTTGGTGAGTGGAGGGACTCTTTTTCAATCAATTTAACTTCTTATTTAATTTCATGGTAAGGTGATACCTTGGGCTCCGCTTTTGAGAAATTCCTGTTATAGAAACATCATTTACACCTACATTTACAAAACAGAACAAAAAAATTCCTTCTGGCAATCCTCCCTTAAGATTTGACACCAAAATGATAATAATATTAGGGTCATTTTCTGGAAAGAAGTTTAGGGAAATTATTTTTTAAATTTTTTTATGTTTATTTATTATTAGAAAGGTTGGTTAACAAAAAAATATTTTTTGAAAATTATAAAAATTTAAAAATATTATTATTTAATGATTGTATCAAATTTGATCCTTAAATTTTTTATTGCTATATATATTTTATTTTAAATATTTATTTTTTAATTTTATTTCTTAAAATTTAATTTTTATATTAATTTTGATCTTTATTTTTATAATTGTTATTTGTTTTTCTCTTATTATTTTTTTATTAAAATTTTTTATTTTTATCTATCAAATTTGATACTCATTCTTTTAATAAAAAATTTTATCCTTATTCTTTTAATTGTTACTTATTTTATTTAAAATACTTTATGAAATATTAATTATTATTATTTTAATTTCTTTATTTTTTTAAATTTAATCTTTATTATTTTAATTATTATTTATTTCTTAAAATAATTTATAAAATTATATTTTTTTAATTTCATTCTCATTCAACTTTTTAATTTATAAAATTTATTCCTTATTATTTTAATAATAATAAACTTGAAAAAAATAAAACATTAATAAATTATTTTTCAATTCATTTTTTCATAACACTATCAAATATTAAAAAATAATTTATTTTTCAAAAATTTACTTTTTTCAAAATTCATTTTCCAAATAAAAACAACTTTTTTATGAAATGAAATTAATATTAGTTGTAAAGCCAATTCAGATGAGTTTAGATAATATAGTAGTTGAGGGCAAACTACCTGAGGTTTCCCTAATAAAGATGCCTTTATAGCGGGCTCATTTGAAGAGAGAGAAAAGAGAGGAGCTCTGTAAAGATAATTTTCCAAAGCAGCATGAAACATGTCAAATTGTGAAATTAAAAGTAAAATGTACTGGAGCATTACAAATCAAAGAGAGAAATGCTGATAATGTAGGCCGCCGAGTGACCAAATTGAACTACAAAAGATGGCAATTGAAATTTGTATCCTCAAATGAAACAGTTTCAAGTTGAAGTTCTGTGTCTGAAGACAGCTATCTATCTTTTACACAATCCGCTCCAACTCTCTAGCATAACTCAATGCCTGGTTGATGAGATGTAGAGATGGTATCTCTTTGCAGGGAGCAGATTCGTTTGCCTTCTGGAAAACTACAGAGCCATTCTTTATCTCCCACTCAAGATGCCCCTGCATAAAGTAAAAGAACATGTCATGTTTATGTTAATCGTGAAACTAAATCTGAAAATATCCAGAACTTGTCCATGCTTGATCTAAACTACACCAAAGGAGTTGGAAAACAATCAGAACGGCTTACTTCAGTTTGTCTAGTATCATAGGTCAAGCAGCCCCCTCCCCTAGAAACTGTTTCTTAACTGCAGAAGCTTGTAGCGTCACTGGGGGAGCTAAACCCAGGACTAGTTACAAGCTCTGAAGCAGTGCCACAGGCATTTCTTATCCAAGTTTATATAATTTCTAATCAATGGAAAATATGAATTGCTCAAATTCCAAAAACTCAAAAGTAAAAGAAAATCAACACAGAACAATGCAAACATATTCCAGTACCTCCTTGATGTATTCCAAAAGTTCATCATCAGAAGAGAAGAGCAACATTTGCCGGGCATCACTTATTGAAAGATAGTCATATGCCTTCTCACTGCATCCAGCTATTTCATCCCTGGGGGTGATGCAGTAGAAATTAACTAATAAGAAGACAAGAGGGAAATGCAAACTGTGTACTATATCCATTCATATAGGATGATAGGGAGATCTGTAGCTTCCAACCAAGAATTCTAAAGACAGATTTCAAAGTATAGTAGCAAGATGAGTTTTAAGTCTACAACAATGTGGTTAAAATGAAGAAAAAAAAATTATGTGTCCTAAAAAACCAACGAGCCAGAGTGCAAAACTCTAGCATGGAAATTTACAAAAGATGGATTACATACTCTATTTAACCACAACACTATTAGATAAATCAAACTGAAAAAAGGACTGGCAAAAACTTAACAGCAATGGATCTCATTATTAGAAAAACTACATCAAATGTTTGAGATGTCACTTTAAAAGAGGTACAACAAATCAAAACCATCATTAAAACTTCAAGCAAACGAACAAGTTTACAAAAGAAACAATGGCTTTCATTTAGAGCAATGGATGGAACACACACGTATATAAACCTTGAAAACAAAGAGTTTGACAACACCTAAAAAGATATTAATTAAGCCCAAGTGTAGTCTAGACTAGAATGATCAATTTTGACCTAAACAATGATGACCATATGCTCTCTGCACGAACAATTCCATCTATCCTAAATTCCTACCCTTTAGGATGCGGAGGTGAATATTACCCATAAGAAAATATAACTTCAAGGAATGAATTTTCAATGACTAATCAATGGTCACTTGACTGTTATTATGGAGTATGGAGAAATTACCTTACAGTCTTTGCCAAGAGATCCATAAAATAATCAAAAGTCTTGTATGGCACATTCTGTTTTGCAGATAACACACGACTGTAAGCCCCTTCCATGAAGGACTGCTCCAACTCCACGGCATGCTTGATGCAAGGATTCTCCAGAGCAGCAGGGGAGAGCAATTCCAATTCAGTATGGAATTCAGCAATTCTGTTTTGGACTAAGAGTCTCAAGAGGTTGAGACCCAAGATCATATACTCCTGAGGAGATGGGGCAAGACGGCCACTGCTCCATCAAAAAAGAAATCATGAACATCAAGCTCTAATAATATACAACTCAACACTGGCTAATGAAGAGAATAAAACAGCAAATTCTTCCTCATCCAGAATAAATCTGTTCTCCACTTTAATGATTCCTCTAGTTAAGAACTTAGTATTGTCCAATACATAAAAACCAGAAATCAGTTATAGAGAGGCCAGAAATTTAAAAGAACCAAATGCACAACTATAAAACAAGCCATTTTTTATTTTCTATTCTGAAAGGGGAAAGACACACACAAAATTACAACAAAGCATTTGAAACAAAACTCGAGTAGTTTGAAGTTCCATTCCTTGATATGCACTAGGATGTGCAAACCAACAGTTGAGAACGGAACTAATTATCCATCCTGTCACGGTAAGAAAATTTGTAAGTGATGCCCTACATGCAACTTTAGTCCACACTGCCAACAGTAGAATAGATTACTCAAGTTGTTGAAACTATGAAATGGTGAATATATCAGATCAGATTCGGTATGAAATTCAAGTCAGCATTCTTGCGAAGTACGGAAACATAATTGTAGAAGCATGCAGTTTATACTAAAAACACTTACCCAAATACAAAACTAAGCCTGCATGATAATTCCTCGAAAACCAAAACCAATCAAAAAATTACCCGGCATCAGTATAATAAGGCTTCAACTGAAAGAAATCCCTTTCAAACGCATCCTGATCCCCAATCTTCACACTCAAAAGAACAGCATGCTCATAAATATCCCCTGAAAAAGCATTCTCATACATAAATAAATAAATAAAATACCATGCGTCAGAAACAATCTTATAACCTATAATCTAAAATCATGAAACCCTAAGTCCTACATTATGACCCTAAGATCCTCAAAACATAACAAAAGGAGCCACGATCTCACTTGCTATTATCAATTCTTGAACAGAATTAGGTGTGTTTTCAAACAACGGCGGCAAGCTTCGAAATCCTATCAACAAAACCTGCAAAAAAAAAATATTAATTGCAATTAACGCTGATTATTAATCAATTCAACCGTAATTAAATCATAAGGGAAAAAAAAACAGAATTGAATTAAGCTGAAAATGAGTTTAAAAAGATAGGGTTTTCAAGTGTGAGGATTTGTCTTTATTACCTTGAGCTGAGAAAGGAGATTCGTTGAAGTATTGATATCGTCTCTAGTACATGCCGCTTTGAATCGCTCGAATAGCTGCGACACTTCTGTTAGCTTTGGATCCATCTCTCCCTCTCCCTCTCCCTCTCGCTAGCTCTCCCTGGTTTTAGTATTTTAAGCTCGAGTTCCCTGGCTTTTACCGGAAGAAAAGAATTTATTATTTTTTGAAGTATTTTACAGGGGTTTAAAAAGAGTTTGGTTCGGGTGATAACCTGTTAACCCGATTCAGTCAAGCCCAGCCCATAACGGGCTGTTATGAGCTGGGCTACAATGATAGAAATAGCCGCAATATTCAATCCATCATCAAATGTATATAAAGGGAAAGAATTTACCTTTTTTCCTTCAAACCCTAGAACGAATCAGAACAGATGCAAAAATAACTATATATATAAAAAAAAAGAAATTAATTAAGTTGAAAAATATAAAGTCTGAGTTTCAAATTGCCATACGCAATCTATTAGTATACGAAATAAGTCTTATCCCAGATGTATCAAAATTATCAGTTAAAACCATATAATCTTAATATCATTCAATTATATTTTTTATTTTAATTATTAGTTTTTATGTGTTACTAACATCTTTTTTGGGCAAATCTTAGCGTGTAGTAACTATGTGTGCATTTCTTTTGTAAATTTGATTTCTTTTTAAGAAACGATCCAAAATAATGTAATATAAATATATTCAAAATATTGCTTATGTGGCATATAATATATTTTAAAACAACCTTTCGAGGAAAAAAAATAAAAAATAAAAAAATATAGCTTTAGAGAAATTTTTGAAATAAAACAAAAAACTTACAATCCTCGTGAAAAAAAGAAAAAGTAGGCACTGCTACTAATTTTGACTCAATAAAATTTCCTATTAGCACTATTAGAATATTAGTTCTTCGCACCTATTTCATATGTGTATTATTTATTTAATTTATAGTATTTTTTAATATTTAATATATTTATTTAGATTTCTTTATAAGAACATAAATTCTATTTTTTATCACATAATCATGTTTGATTTTTAAATAACTTATTATATTTTTTATAATACTAATTAAAAATATATTTTAATATTTTGAATATATGATTATTTTAAACTGGAATTTAAAGTGAAACTTAGGGACATAAATTAAATTATATTTCCAGATCTAATAATTAATAGTTAAGATACATACATATGAATCTTAAAATAAAAACTACTAAAACACAGTTTTACCTGACATTATATTATTTTGAACCTTTTTTTATCTTAAACACTTTTTTAATTATTAAATTATGATGTGAATATAAATTAAAAATACAAACATGAATACAAATTTTATAAATCTTAATTTTTATTATTATTACCCATGCTTGTTTAAAGAGTGAAAAAAATAACGTAAAACAATAACATAAAGTAACTTGTAAAATATTAACTAAGGATTCAATTTAATAATTTTATAAATTTTAATATAACTTAATTATTTCTAAACTTAATACTTCATGTTTTATTAGCATATTAGAAAAAAATATTTTTAATAAAAATTAAAGTACAATATAATTTAAAATTTATTAGAATATTTTATTAAATTAGAATTTTTATGTTATTGAAATAATAAAAAAAAAGGACTTATGGCTTTTTTAGGAATTAATAGTAATTTAACCAACTCGAACCATCAGGCCCATAAGTCCTATTCTAAAATGCGCCATGTGCGTACAGCGCACCCTCCTTATCTGATATCCCTTTTTCTGCCTTTCACTGACCCAGAAGCAGTAGCTGAAAAAATGGCATCGTCTTCTACTTCTTCTTCGCTTACATCAAATTTAGTTTCATCCCCATTTTACCCTTCATCATTCTCCAAATCCCCATCATTGCCCCTCCTCTCATTCTCTCAAACCCTCAAGCCTTTCCCTAACAACTCAAAACTGGTCTCCAGAGCACACAGCAACCCAACAACAGCAGTCAAGGCCCAAACTGTAGACTTCGCCAGCTCGTTTTATGAAGGCGGGATCGGGTCTGACGATGAACCGGATTCTCCAATTGGGTCGGGTACTATGACTGCTGTCGAGGAGAAGGAGACGCCTCCCTGCCCACCCGGGCTTCGACAGTATGAGACTATGGCTGTTTTGAGACCCGACATGTCGGAGGATGAAAGACTCGCTCTTACACAGAAGTACGAGGAGGTAAAAACAAGCATGGTTAATATTTTTTTCTTTCTTTTCAATGTAGTCCTTGAAGTATGAAACTTTACAATGTTTGTTTGTTGTTAATCCTACAGCGTTCTAAAAATGCTGGGGTTCTTTTAGTTTTTTTAATTTTAATAATTAGTTTTCGAGTAATTGTGGCAAGTAAATTTTAAATATTGTTAAATAGGTACCTGTGTTGTTAAACGTTGAGTGTGCTCAAGAAACTGAGGAGGAGGACTAATAGGGTAGTGATTGGGGCCAAATGACATTATTTAACCGTCACTGATGGATAGAAATGCTTTTAGTTGAACTGCGATTCTTGTTGACAAATTACAAAGATTCTAAGCCAAATTGCTTCGAGTTGAAATGTATCTGGCCAGACGATAATGATTTTTCCTTGTATCTGTTACTTTGATTTAGTGAACTAGCAGATGCTTCAGCTTGATGGTATTGTATGCCAATTTGTTTCAATGCCCTGCTGATTATGATTTTGTGTTAGAAAGATCTTGCAATAGATGGCCTGAATTTTTCAGTACTTGTGCGCAGTTGACATTTACTTCCAGCCCTGATACCTGAATGGTCTGGGCTACGCACCTTATAAGCAAGATCACGTCAATAAAGTCATGCATGTTACGAGATGTGCATTCAATATAAATTGATTGTAGCATTGCATTTTGTGTAGATATTTACTTTAGGAGCTAAGCAAGGGAACTATTTAGGCAAGTATGCTAGTATGTAACTTAAAATTAAAGCAGTGTCAAGTAGCATAATGGTTAATTATACACTTCCTCTGCACATTTTCTTCATCGTTCTTGCTGATGGTGATCATCTTGCAGTTGCTTGTTGCTGGTGGTGGCATGTATGTAGAGGTATTCAACAGAGGGGTCGTTCCACTAGCTTACAGCATCAAGAAAAAAAACAAAGCTGGGGAGTCTAACACTTATTTGGATGGTATTTACCTTCTCTTTACCTACTTCACAAAACCTGAGTCCATTGGAATTCTTGAGCAAACTCTGAACACAGATGATGATGTTATCCGATCATCCACTTTCAAAGTGAGAAAGAGAAAGTATTAGTGCTGGTCAGTTTCAATCTTTTGTGCAGTACGATGGAGGAACATGGTTAGGAGAGAATGAGTTATAGCGGCAATGTAATCTTGTTTGTTATAATCTTGATTCTAATGATTGAGATTTATTTTGTTTAATTATATCCATAATGACAAGATTAGAAATCATGCGGGTGCTAGGAATGTGGACTGCCTCAACAGTGCAAGCAGTATTGTATTGTATGCGAATTTAACAACTCATGAAGGCCATGTTTATCCTTGCTTTGATTGCAGGTAGAAATATCCAGCCCAAAGACTCTGTTTGGGAATGTGAAACAGTTTTTTTTTTTTTTTTATGTAATTAGATAGTTTTGATATATCAATGTTAAAAATAATTTTTAAAAAATAAAAAAATATTATTTTAATATATTTTTAAATAAAAATTACTTTGAAAAGTAATTTTTACCATACTTCTAATCATCTTTTTAATGTTTAATGGAGTTGAACTCTATATTTTTTTAGGGGGTGTTATTTTTAATATTAAAACAGTAAAAAGACGTAAAAATATTAAAAAAATAGTTTGAAATAAAAAAATAAAATTTAATAAAAAAGGTTTAACCTCAATGTCATCAACTTCTGGACAATAACCATCCCCACGTTAGTTCAGTTCTTTGTCATGCATTGAAGAGGGTTGGACTCTACCCGTTCAAAACCCAGGGTTTTGATTTGCTTACAAAAAGAAGAAGCCTCGATGTGTGATAGACATGCTGGTTTACTGTTACGGGCTCCGGTCTCCTTTTTTGTTCCAAAACTATAAGATATATCAGCATCGGTGATCCTTTCTTGGAGAGCACTAATGTTAAACTACTCTCATATGGCAGTAGTTGAAGCACAAAAGTTCTCTGGTGGCGGCCTCTCCCAATCATATACAAGTAACTAACAAAGAAAATAGTGCTAGGATAGGATTCAGTCGTCACTTGAATAATTTTTTGGGCGAACTTTTCCACTTCTGCAAGATATTCTGTAGCTGCCATTTGCCTATATAAATGGATTACTAGGAATAATTGTGTCAAATTGTACGGTCAGAAATATTTTTATATGTAGAGAATCTGATGTAGTGGTGCAGTTCGAGATCTTATCTGATACCCACTTTGTGTGAGAAAGAACTGTCTTCATGATCCACCAACAACAGTGCGATTTTCTCAATTAAAGTTTGGAGCAGCATGCCCACGTTGAACTGTATACTGGGAAAGGAGGACAACTTCCACTAAGTAGGATCATAAAATAAACGTGAAATACATTAAAATAATGATGCACATATGAGAAAAACATCTAAAGTAAGATATTTATATTTAACCAGCTGGATCAACCACCTGAAAGAAGTATTCATCTTTTACCAAAGGAAATACGTATCTGGACAAAAAAATCTTAACAGAAAAATCTTTTTTGGAGGGTTTGATGATGTCTTAACAAATAAAAAGCAACTGCAAGGATAGGTTAACATCTAACAACAACAACTCCTCATGTCAAGAGGGAGGCATACAGGCCTGATTATACTAGCGTGCTGGTGGTCTCCTAAATTTACCCGTATGGGAGGAACGTGAAGCTGAGTTAAACAAACCCACCTTGCAAACCCGATTATGTTTTTTTCTATTTATTTGAAGGTTGTTAGACCAGTGACCTGCCAACCATGAATCAGGCTCTGCCTTGACATCTTAGGAAACACCCTTCTGAATGTCTTCCTTAAGCAAGATTTGCAATAAACCACCAACTGCCACAGCCATCTTTTGCAAGCACTCTTTCTTGTGGGGTGGTTAGTGATAGCCTTAGCTAACCAAACCAAACAAATTTACCAAACCAATCATATTTACCTTCTCTTTTTCAATTCAGCAATTGAGGTCAGCATTCTTATAGTCTAGGCATTTTAGAACTCGTAATAGTGTTTTGGGTCCATGCCTGAAGAATAAGACAAACTAGTCTTAAGTGCAAAGTGTGAGGACTCATGTCTTAGAGGGACATGGGGCTTGTCCCATCATTGAAAAAGTGAGAATATAGACTACCATCATCTAAATTTGATCTCAAAAGCTCTAATTTGCTGGCTTCTATTTCTTCTCTCTTTTTAAACAAAGGTTGCTTTATTAATGTATCCTTTTCCCAATCCCATATCAATCCTTAACCACCTCTCTCCATAAATACATTCAGCAAGGCATTTGTAACTCTTCTATACAACCTCTTCAACTGTGAGTACTGGTCATTTGTTTCCACATCCAGTCCTTTTTGAATCTTTGGAGACTGATGGGCCTCCCTCAAGCTCCTGCCCCTCCCCATCTTTACCCTCAACAACTTCAACTTAAACTTTACCAGGCTTTCATTTTTTCAATTCCTATTCTCTTCTCTATCATTCTTTTTCTGTTGTTTTACTTGTTCTACCTCAAGAGAAGGGCTTCCTCAATTTCATCTCCTTCACATATAATTCCAGGAAGTTCCGATCAAGCTGCTCCATACCACGCCTCTTCTGTAAGACCTTTCTCCATTTCTCTCTCGCATGCACTAAATGCATGCAGAAAGGAAAACAAAAAATTAAAAGGCAGCAAAAGAGGAGCATTTCTTTCTTTTATGTTGTGCTTTCGGGATTGATTTGTATACTATTGTATCATGGTTTGCTGTTCAGCACTTCAGCCATCATCTTAATATTTTTCTAATTCTTTTTCTTGTTTCCAATGATTATATCTTTAGATTTGTCAGATTGGTCTGAAGGAAGAGTTTAAAGACAAGCTACCAATTGTCTTATTTGATGAAGAATTAATGACAAAGGATTCCCAGTAAGTTTGTCACACTACTCAATTTCCATTCAAGATTAGGACAACTTTGATGGAAATGTGCTACATATGGTCATGTGGTGGGGGCTAGTATTTATCCTGCCCTACAACATATGCTCAAGTTAGTGGTATATTGCAGTAATGATCATATGGCTGACAAGGCCAATTCACTGAAAAAATGGAAGATTGAAATTGACCTGCAATAAAGTTTCTCTAAATTGTAAACATGAAGAAAAAAGGCTTTAGATAAGGGCGCACTATTTAGTATTTTCATCTCCATAAAGTCATGCAGAATTATCTCTTAAAACAGTAATACCTATGAACCATCCTTTATAGGCTAGGCAGCAGCAGTGTCTCTTAATGTTAGGTTTTGGTGAACAAGTAAAATCTGGGTGAAAATTGACATGTATGGAGGTGGAAAAGCATGTGTGAAATAATGTTGCAAACAGTACTCATGCTCGCCTTTGAGATTCTAAAAAGCTAATCACTAAAGCTATTGAAAAAGATAAGAAAATAGGTAATCTTATGCCATGTACAAGAGTTTTTAGCTCTTGGAGCCTAATGACTTTTCTTTGAGTTCTTATTCGCTTATAGGTCCAGTTTTAGTGCTATCTTTTCAGTCCTTTTTGGGTTCCCTGGCTTCTATTATTTTGATGTAAATTGCACAAATCTATCAACTTGTACCCGACTCTGAAATTGAAGACTCTGATTAGATATTCTCTTTAGCTAAAGAATGGCTAGCAAATATTTAGACCAGACCCTCTGTAATAATTAATAAGCCTTAACCAAGGAAAATGCCATGGCATCAAGTTCCAAAATTTTATAAAAAATATCAGAATTTCAGTTGATGCTTCTTATCTATACTTTGTAAGTTGAGACCACTAGAACTGTTAAGTTTCTGTCCTATTTCAAAAGCACCTAAGAATCTTTAGTTACATCCACTACTTTCTGGAAAGCAAATTGGGAAGCCATGGCTGGAAGTTTGTACAAAGTATAGTTTTGATGCCAACAGAAAAACAGGGAACATGATATTAGGAATGACATCTATCTAGAATATTTAAAAAGAAAAGGTGAAGGCTTCCTTTCAGCTGACCCTAATGGAATTTTGAAACATTTTGCTTGCAGATGCTGTGTTTGCTTGGGCGAGTTCGAGATCGAAGAGGAAGTTTTCCAAATCCCATCATGCAAGCATGTGTTTCACATCGACTGCATACATCATTGGCTGCACTCGAACTCAACTTGTCCACTTTGTAGATGTTATGTCATTTTCCCTACCACCAAATTTTGTACTAGTCCGCTACAATCTAGTGGACGTATGATACTGCCGCAATCTAGCGCAAACTCTCACCATTCTCAGAACATGACATCAGAACCGCAGCAACAAGAAGATGTTGGTGCTGGATTAACAGAACAATTTGTGATACCTATGGAAGGACCAGCAAGTGTGACAACACAATTGAGGGACTCTTCCAGCTTGCCTGAGTTGTCTATTTCCATGGAGAGTGGAGGGGGTTCTACAAATGGAGAATCTGTTATTCTTCATATTCGAACACGAAGTCCAAGAAGAGAAAATTTGCCTCTGCACGAAGTTGAAATAAGTAGATAGGCAAAAGCTCTCAAGGCGGACACCAAATGGGAAACACACGTGTGAACGCCCGCGTGCCTATAAGCATGCACTTTCTTTCAGCTAGCTGCGTAATTCTGTTTCGAAAATTTCTTGGAAGGGGTTGGATAGAAGGCCGGTCACTAGCTAGTAGTGTCAGGAAATCACTGATAAGGTAAGGTCAGCCTTGTAGCGAAATCCGAATTTAGCTCTTCTCATGTCAGTAAATGAAGAAATTACAAGAAAAGCATGCTAAGATGAGCATTTTTGCCCCGAAAATATGGTTAAATCTTGTGGTAGCATCATCTTGATCTTCTTCTTTCAAAACCAAGTGTTTATTAGAGCACAATGCATTGCAGATAAAACAAGACCAAAGCACACTTTACCCGAGCATAATTAGTAAAAGTGTAGACTCATTGAGGAATGTTAATACAGAACTCACAATTTTCGTACTTGAAAATGGAAGAAGCTGCCTACAAGAAAGGACAATGCCACAATTGTTGAGATAATTTTAGTCGGCAGGTAACTTTCCTGTATCATTCCTCAAAATCATTTCAGTCCATATTCTCCCAACTTAATTGCCCGCCTGACTGGCCATAAGACATGCCCTGTTTATGAAGAATCTATCATAAAAATTGATCTATTAACACTATAATTTGATGAGTTTGGAAGTATAGCTTTAGCTTTCTACTAGCATATACCAGAGCTAAGACCATTTTCTCCACTCTCAAGTACCTTGATCTATATTTCGAAGAGTTTTACTGGAATAGTAGATTGGAAGTTGTACACCTTTTTCTTCTCCAATCAACACCGCAATAATTGTCTGATCAGAAACTCTAGATAAATAAACAAACTTTCACTCTCTCATGGTAATGATAAGATTTTAAAAGGAAAAAATGTAGTTTGAGCTTTTTAAAAGATTTTTAACATTTTGGTGTTCGTTTAAATTTCGTGATATTCTTTGAGTCTTGAAAAATGGTGAACTGCATTCCTCGTCTCAGGTATGAATTTGTTGAGAACAGCTAGTTTTCTAGTAAGATGATGTAAGATGTTGGACCTCCTTAACCTTCTAATTGAGTAAATGGGATAAAATGCATACATTGAGTAACCGAGGCCTGCAAGAGGCCCCATAGCCCTGGAGCAGAAGGTTAATGGGCTGCATTTTAAGAAGGCCACCTCAAGAACACCTACAGTCCACCATTTTTGCTGAACCAACAAGGAAACGGGTGCATCCCCCGGGATTGCAAAATATGGACCTCCAACCCTCAGAATAGTCTTCAACCAAGGATCCATACCTATATCCTATCTGAAAGTTTCAGAATGAAACGCAGTTAATGTCAATGGCTATCTGTCTAGCATGGAAAACTTTAAAATTTGGGACGTTTATTATACTTGCCTTATAACCCCAACTTGTTTGCTTCTCGTAATTGCAAGCTGATGGATGGTGTGCCAGTGCTAAAATATCAGAGGACCGTATGGACTTGTCTACAACATGGTTTGGGTTTAATTCAGGAATTTCCGGTGACTCAATTTTTGATGGGCCTCCACAGAATACTTGGCGAGAAAAAGAAGCTCCGGGTTCCTACATAAGAGGGACCTACCAATCCATCATAAAAATAGATGTCAATTTTGTTGATTCCTTGGAAACGTTGAGGAAATTGAACTAACCCATCTTTGGGCCGGATTTTGGGACCAGAATAGTAGGGTTTTTTTTCCATTTTAAAACATCAAAAAAATATTCACATAATAGAGAATTACTTATATTATTTTTAAGCTAGGTAACCTTGAAATCTATTACCAGTCTCATTTTTTAGACCAAGTTTAAATTTAAATTGTGTGGGAGTTGCCTTAAAATTATCTAGTTAATTTTATAAATTTAAAAATAACTCAAAATAACCAGTAAAAAACATGGTTTGACTTTAAAAATAAAATCAAGACATACTTTTTATTTTGAATATTAAAATAACAATATATTAGATCGACTCGAATTTCACGGTTTAACCCGTCAAACCCACGACCTAGGTCATAGACTCAACTGAGTTTAATAACTTTATTTTCTAAAATAATTTTTACTTGATTGGATAATAAAATAAATAAAAGCTTATAAAATTAAGAATAAATCAAATATCAGGATATTTGTTTGAAATTATGATAAACTCATAAATTCAAACTGGAACAAATTATAAAAACTAATTCAAAATCAATCAAATGCTAAAAGGTGAAATTTAAGAAAAATCAATACAAACATCAATACAAAATGTTGAATAATAAAAAAAAAAAAATAGAACTCCTTCACTATTCATTCAAAGAGAGTTAAGTCATGGTACCCGGGTTTTTTAGTTTATAGTATAATATGACAATAATAAATATGTATCTTAATTAATCTATAATTTTAAATTCTAAAATAATTATTCTTTTATATTCCCATAAAAATAATTGCAACAAAAAATTGTATATAAAAAAAAATTATTTCAAGAATTTTATTCTACCTTCAATTAGTTCAAATTTTGTATTTTACAATAAATAATTTCCTAAATAATATATTTTGGAATATCTAACTTACAAAATAGAAATTATTATCCAAACTTATGACACTTTTTAGTTTATAACTAGGTCCAGATGGTGCTACATTGCGGAGCCAGATATTGTTTTGCATAAAAATGATATTTAGTTGTTGCAACCACGTTTAAAAAAAAAGGAATAAAAATCCATAACTCGAGTTATAGATCTAACTAGATTAAATGAGTTGGTTTTATTTTAATTAGGCAATAAAAAATAGGCAACAATAATAGATAGACTTTTTTTTTAAGAAAAAAGTGATTACAATAATCTAGGCAACAATAGATAGACTATTTTTTTTTAAAAAAAAAAGGTGATCACAATAATCTAGGATAAAAAAAATATTTTTCCAAGGAGGGATTAACGATGTAGCCTAATTTTCAATCGTTAAATATAAAAGGATGAAATGAAACATAAAAAGAACAAAAAAAAAAAATCAAACATGATTAACCTGAGTTAACATGATAAATCTCTATATCTAATAATTAGGATGAAGCAAAATTGCATTATTCCTCCAAATTTGCAATCCAACTCATAAGATTAGGATAACCTGGTAAGAAAAATATGAAAACAATCACAAAACTCATTTAAAAAGAAAATATCAATCTGCGTTAACTTTTTAAACTCATAACCTGTGTTATTAGATTAAAAGCATCATATTTTAAAAAATTACAAAGTTTAATTTCTAATAAAATAAACGTTTAAGGATGAAATCGAGAAAAAATCGATCACATAAAAGGATTTAAAGTAAAAAATAATTAAAATAATGAGGTGAAAATTAAAATAAAAAATAAATTAGAGGGTAACTATAAATTTTCAATTGGAGGATTAAATTAAAAAGAAAAATAAATTCAATAAAAGGATAAAAAAATAAGGATTAAATTGAAAAAAATAATATACTATAAATTGGATTGAAGGGTGAAATTAAAAACTAATAAAACTTGTACAAGAAGGCCAAATAAAAAAATAAAAAATAAAAAGATTAAGAATCAAATTAAAAAAAATAATATATGTCAAATTGGAATTGATTAATGAAATTAAAAATAAATAAAACTTTTACAAAGAGCCAAAAACAAAAATTAAAAATTAAAAAAATAGGACTAAAGTTAAAATATCAACAATAAAACTAATCAATCTTTAATTTCAAGAGAGAGAAAAAAATATAAAAGAAGAAAAAAAAAGGTGAAAAGTTCACGGGCAACAAATCACTCTATTATTGTCGATACATATCACATTAGGAGAATTAATATGCGACAATGCTTCCAATAACATAATGAAATAATTTTTTTTTCAAAACATGTTGGCGCCTTCTATACACTAATATCATTTTTATTTTAAATAATAATCAAACCTTGATGAAAGATCAAAATACCTTAGATGAACATGGTAATACAAATACTTGAGTGAAGAGAATTAAAAATCATTGGATTCAAGTTTTTTTTTTTTTGAAGATAAACTTGTCATTTTATTGTATCTGAAAAAATAAAAAGAAATTACTGCCCTGATGTCAATCTATAATTTTTTACTTGAAGTCAATTAGGTTCTTTTACTATACTTATATATATATATCCCAGAACAATCCTTTAATAACTAATAATAGGATGTTTAAAAAGACTTAAATACCCCCACGGCCAAGTCATTTCTTCTTCTTTTTTGATGTACAAAAATGTAACTATGCTATCCCAGTAAACAAAGCCAATGAATTCGTGTCTACCATGTTTTTTTTTTAAAGAAAGACAATTAACTCTTGTTAATATTGATTTTTACTAGCTAAATTATTACATGACAAAGCAATACTAAATTATAAGTAATAATCTATGATCTTTGATATCTATCCGAGAAAATTAGAGTCATTCAATGACTTATTCATAAAATTTAATATATAATTTTTTTTCAATATTTAGCATCTCTTTGTAGGAAAAGAGAATTTAAGTGACTTAATTTTTTTTAAAATAATAAATATTTAGGTCTGTGGCAGATAAAATAAATTCGAAAGTGCACTAACAACGGCTACATTTTTCAACTTTATATCTCCTTGACACGGGGTCCAGTCACAGTCATCAAAGACAGGAATTTGGATTTGGAGGATCTTTTAGACTAAACGCTGATGTTTGCGGTGTTAAATTGTTGGGCAGTCTACGAAGCTATGATTTGGAGGATGGCTACAGGGAAGTTGCCCCACAAAACTGCTATTACAACATTTTTTTTGTCGGACAAGAATCTACGAGTAAAAGAAAAGGACACCAGCCAGAAGGCAATACTGGATTGGTGGTGCACATTACACCGCGGACTAGACTAAATATTTTCTATTATTTTAAAAAATATTGTTCAAATACCGGTAGTGCTTTTAATTAAAAAAAATCAGTTTACTAATTTGATTGCATTCAGGAAGTTTAGTTAATCTAATATTATTAAGAAAAAAAATAGACAACGATAATAGTAAATAAATTAAATAAAAAAATTAATTTGGATTAGTTCAGATTAATTCGTTAAATATATAACTTGTTGATATACAACAATAAAATAATTTTTTAAAATTTTAATTATAAAAAAATTAAATTAATTTAGTTTAACATTTCAAACTTACATAATATAAAGGTAGGTTATCTCATAAAAACAAATCTAAAAAAATTATGAAATTATATTTTTAATAAATAAAATTTTAATTAGCAAAATTTAGAGGGATGAAATTAAAAAAAAAATATTTCAATAAAAAAATATAAAACAAAATAAATAATAA